GGGACCTGAACCTGTTCAGCCTCCACAAGAGAAGGCTGAGAGGGATCTAGTGGCCTGTTACAAACTAGTCTGAGGGGACCAGCAGGCACTGGGGGAGTCCCTGCTCCCCCGAGCACTACCAGGAGTGACCAGGAATAACGGTCACAAGCTGGCAGAGGGGAGATTCAGATAGATATCAGGAGGCGCTACTTCACGGTCAGGGCGGGTAGGATCTGGAACCAACTTCCAAGAGAAGTGGTGCTGGCTCCTACCCTGGGGGGCTTTAAGACAAGGCTGGACAATCACCTTGCTGGGGTCGTTTGACCCCAGTACTCTTTCCTGCCATGGCAGGGGGGCGGACTTGACGATCTGCTCAGATCCCTTCCAACCCTACTAACTATGAAACTTCTCCAAGGTTTTTGCTGTCCCAAGATTATATAGGATCCCTCATCCTGCAATCCCATCTGCACACCTCCACAAGTCACATTGGCCATATCCAGACATGCAGGGGTGTGCACTTGCAACACACAAATTGCTGCAGCGCATGCCCCTGCATGTGCACTTCGCTGTGGGACAATCTGTCCCACAATGGGCCAACTGCTCTTGCCCAGGTCCTGGCTCTACAGCCAGGGAGAGCTGGAGGCTGGGGCTAGTACCATTGCTGGCCCCAGCAGTCTTCCCTGGTGGCCTAGAGTAGCAGGAGCACAGATGGGGCAGCACGGAGGCCTGGCCGGGATCCAAAGAGTTGCTCTGCATGGCCTGGCCTCTGTGTGCACTGGCACAGGCTTGTTGAGCTTGCATTGCACCATTTTTTGCTCCGGTTTTGTGGGGTTTTGTTGCTACTTAACATGTAGTGAATTTAGGACCCATGCCGCAAATCTGCAATACGGGACACACTTGAACGTTCACCGTGTACAGTTTGCAGCACCACAAAAAGGTTTGTGGTACTGCAAGCCACACATGCTTGCACGTGGGAACCCACCCATGGAGTCCGACTGAACTCCATGGGACTCTCCAGGCACACAGAGATTCACTCTCACAGCCCAGATTACCAGACTAAAGCTTTTGTTTGCAAGGCAAATATATGGAGTCAGAATCAAAGGCATTGTCCTTTCTGTATAGAGCACCCTGCACACCTTGGATAGAAAGACCTGGGCAAAAATTAAACAAAACAGAAGCTGCAATGTTAAGAACAGCACTCGCAGTTTATTTATGGGCCCTGCTCTTATCAAGCATTTGGGAAAAATCCCACCACTACTGTCTGAAGAGCCCACCAAACCGAGCACAGAAATGGGCAGTTTGTGCAGAACCCGAGAAGCGCGTTCTACCTGCTTTCTGGAAGATATGGATTGTTATTAAGTTGTATATTTGGGTTTACACTGAGTCACTGCAGGTACCTGTGCTGGGATCTAGTTGGAAACCAAAATGCTGTTGTAAGGGAAAAGTCAGTAGGAGAGGTCAGGTAATGCTGGGGACTCTCCAAATCTGCCAAATACTTTGTTAACGACCCAAAGACACACAGAAACATGGAGCTGTTCCTGCAAAGGAGTAAAAACGACAGGGCTCTCTTTATACCTCCACCCACCTTGCCTTCTTCACAAGTGTCTTCAGCCTCCAGGCCAGGGACTGGAGGGGGACGGGGGAGCTGCTTGTGCACGCACACATATACACATGTGTGCGCATTACGTGAGCACATGGTCTCAAGTAAGAATAGCATAAAATCTCTCCGTAAACAAATGAAGCTATGGCAGCAAACAAAATGTCAGCTTTTCCCCTTAAACTATTTGGAGAGCATCAAGCTGCAAGATCATCTGCGCCTGACATTTAGTTCCAAACCTTCATTATACTGTGTAAATAGTTAATCATGACAACCCGCTGCCACCTGCCATCTCAGCCCAGGCAAGCTCTGGGCCTGACTGAAATTCCAAGGGCCCTGAGCCATCCTGGTGCCACGTAGCTGGTGGCTTCCCTGTCATGATGGCATCCACCGAGACGCATTTTGTTTGCTATTTGAAAGCTGAGTCAGGCAAAGAAACAACAATAAAACGTGTCGCATGTGGCAAAGATGGCACCGACTGCTCTCGTCATACCTGAATGACTCATAACGTAGAACAAAAGAGCAGCAACAGGAAACAAAGCAGTTACCTCTGAGACACAGTCTGGGTACTACTGAGGTCAACGAGAAAGAGAAGCTGCTCCTCAGTAACTGCAGTCGTTCAAAAGTGTTGTCTCTGCACAGCCTCGCTAGTGGGAATGGCCAGCTGTGGCTACCAAGTGCTCAGAGACAACAGATGTCACCAAACAGAGCACATGAGCCTTGGCAGGACATGGCCCAACACAGCTGGCTTGCGTTACTGGGCGAAACATGTCACTCACTGTTCCACATCAGGCTGGGGCCTGATGCGGGACAGTGAGCAATGTGTTCCCCTTGCCTGGGGGCCCTCATACCCCTCTGTGCTAGGTCCCATGCTGACCCATGCCTCATGCAGAGGTTGGCACAGGGCACCATGGGACCCGGGGAATCCCCGGTGCCCCATGCCTCCTCGCAGGGACCCATGCTGCCCCAGGCTTCACACAGAGGCCCAGGTCAGTGTGGGTCCTGGGTGGAGACACGGGGTGCAGGGAATTCCTTGGGTTCCACGCTACCTCACATCTCTTTGCCAGGACCTGCACCAACCCATGCCTCCGTGTGAAGCACGGGTCTGTGTGGGTCCTGGCACATGTCCCAGCATGGAGACACAGGATCGTGTGGGTCCCAGTATGGAGGCACTGGGATTTCCCGGGTCCCTTTCATCCACACTGGGACCCGCACAGGCTTCCCCCGCTTATGGAAACATGCCTCTCAAGGTCCCCAAGATTCACAGGGTGCATCTTAGCAAGCAGGAAAAGCCCAGCAGGGAA